AGTTGTTCTTATTTACCGTGAAATCTACCGCTTGTTTCTATGCATATTACTCACATGCTTGTCTGAGCTGCAGGTGGCTCAACTTAAAGAGCTATCAAAACAGGCAGATATATATGAAAGGCTGACAAGGTCATTGGCTCCAAACATCTGGGAGCTAGATGATGTGAAGAAAGGTCTTCTTTGCCAGGTTAGATATTTTTTCTGTTTGCAGGTTGATAGCTTGTTTCACTGATCTACCTTTAGTTTGTCTATGCTCTCTCTTTGTGGTGCTTTGGCTGATGGCTTATGACCGCCTTTATTACAGCTGTTTGGTGGAAGTGCTTTGAAGTTGGCATCTGGCGCTAACTTCCGCGGTGATATTAATATTTTACTAGTTGGTGATCCTGGAACCAGCAAGTCCCAGCTGCTCCAATACATACATAAACTTTCTCCACGTGGCATTTACACAAGTGGAAGAGGGAGCTCTGCTGTTGGACTGACTGCTTATGTTGCCAAAGATCCTGAAACAGGCGAAACTGTATAAACTATATTCACATGTTATTATATTATCTTCCGTTTAAGAAACATAGGCGACCCTAAACATGTGCCCCATCTTCAGGTTCTCGAGAGTGGCGCTCTAGTTTTAAGTGACAGAGGCATCTGCTGTATAGATGAATTTGACAAAATGTCTGAGAATGCCAGGAGCATGTTACACGAGGTTGATTGCATGCTTTCTCTTTCTGTATACTTGTCAATGAAGAATTTCTTGCGTCATGACTTTATTAGCTCTGCGTTTTGAGTGTCTATAGCCCTGAGTCTTATTATTTCAGGTGATGGAACAACAAACTGTTTCAATAGCAAAAGCAGGTATTATTGCCTCCCTCAATGCCAGGACTTCAGTGTTGGCTTGCGCGAACCCCAGCGGGTCACGATATAATCCTCGCTTGTCTGTCATTGACAATATACAACTTCCTCCTACACTTCTGTCCAGGTAGGCCGTTGTTAAATTTCGCCTTAAAATGGGCTCCATTTGCACTTTCCATGCTTCAATATGTTAAGAATCTGTTTTTTTTTTCCCCCCAAGATTCAAATTCGTAAAAAATTGTTTTCTTTATTGGATTCAAATTCTCTTGACATAAGAAAAATATTTTCTTCAACGGCGTTAATATTTTAATTAAGAAAAAAAATGTTTTTTACGTTAACTTAGCTATAATTATTTTGATTACCTCTTAATGGCAACAAAGAAAATAAAAATAATGTTCATTTTTTAACCTCTATTTTCATAAGAAAAAGCAGATTTGGTATTGTCTAATATATCCCTGTGCCCCCAGATTTGGATATTCCAAATGAGTTTTTTTTTTTTCCCCCCAAAGAAAAACTAAAATGCTTATCAGAGTTTTTGTTGACCGAAAAATGCTTATCAGAGTTGAAAGAAAGAGGAATTGGTAAATTTTATTTTCTTTGTTGGCATAATGAGGAAGTTCAAATTATGATGGGTAAATTAATTTAACTCCATGTAGGTTTTTTCCAAGAAATAAATTAAAAGTGTAGAAGAGGAGAATTTTGACTACATGTACAAAATTAAAGGATTGAAAAGTTTCAATAAAATTGACTAAATTGAAACTTTGTCAATTCAAGGAACTAAAAAATATTATTTTACCATTGATAAATAAAGTAAAATAATTAACATTTAGCGGTCACAAACTTGAGCCTGGCCTTTACGGAGTTCATGATTCATTATGAAGCAAGTAGGGCACTGCTAGTCATTCTGAACCCAACTGTTTCTATCCATTAAGAATTGGTGATTAATACAAGCCATGATGATGGGTAAAAAGATAACAGACTAACAGAACTTATAGAGATGTTGCGGGATTTCTGAACTGAACTGAGTTGACATGTTCTTGCTCAGGTTTGATTTGATCTACTTAATTCTTGACAAGGCTGACGAACAGACAGATAGACGACTTGCGAAGCATATTGTTTCCTTACACTTTGAGAATCCTGAGGTCTAAACCTGACATCCTCCCATTCATGGTTAAGGTCCAACGTTCATTGCTTTGGCTTACTAATAATGTTATATATCTATTTGTAGAGCTTAGAGCAAGATGTGTTGGATCTTCCTACATTAACTGCTTATGTGAGCTATGCTCGAAAGCATATACACCCACAACTATCTGATGAAGCGGCTGAAGAATTGACTAGAGGTTATGTTGAGATAAGAAGGAGAGGAAATTTTCCAGGGAGTAGCAAGAAGGTAAAGTATTTTAGAGTAGTTTAACTGGCAAGATTCTGACTATACATGAACTTGGGGAATGCAACTAAAATGAATGATTCCGCGCACACATGATGAAAATTCTTGAGGACAAATATGTTCTTCCCAATTGGACATCACCATTTGTTTTGTTTTTGTGAAAACCCATATCGGGGGAATTATTATTTCGGATTATAAGATATGATTTTTTTTTTTGGCCTGAAAAGATTCTATGATATGATTGTAATATTGTTCTCTAATATTGCAATTTTTAAGATTTTCGACCCTCTGCTATGCATACCAATCCTCTGAATGAATTAATCAGGTGATAACAGCAACACCAAGGCAGATTGAGAGTCTAATACGGCTTAGCGAAGCATTGGCTCGGATTCGTTTCTCAGAATGGGTTAGTTATGCTTGCTTAGTTTCCTAGTGAAACACAGTTTAGGAAACCTTTCTAGTACTCTTAAAATACCTGATGGACACAGGTAGAAAAGCGGGATGTAATGGAGGCATTTCGGCTTCTAGAAGTTGCAATGCAGCAGTCTGCCACAGATCACTCTACTGGTAGCTTTCGAAATGATGAGCCTGATTCTTTTATATATACCCGCACAAACTAGACCAAAATGCCTTTTCTTTTAATGTCCTTTATTTCTCCCAGGAACCATTGACATGGATCTTATCACTACTGGAGTTTCTGCGAGTGAAAGGATGAGACGAGAAAGTCTGATACAAGCAACTCGCAACATAATCATGGAGAAGATGCAAATTGGAGGACCATCAATGCGATTATTGGAGGTATGCTAGCTTACTCTATATGTTATTATGATAAGTTATTCTACCGAACATCTGAAGTATACAATGACGTTCTAATATGTTTACATTTGGTCATTTAGTTACTGGAAGAGTTGAAGAAACAGAGCGCCAGTGAACTCCACCTCAGTGATGTAAGCCTGCCCTCTTTTCCCCATTCCAAAAGAAATTTTACTCTTTTTTTTTTTTTTTGGTATACTCCCATTTGGATTATCTCATTTTTAATTAGGCAAATACATGTTAATGCAGCTAAGAAATGCAGTTGCTAGTTTGGCCAGCGAAGGATTTGTTGCACTGCATGGTGACAGTATAAAAAGATCGTGATAAAATGAAAGACAATATGACCTTTGGATTTTATATTTTAAGGTGGCTCCTAGGTGATGTAGTTCTTTTTAGTCATCACAAGCCGAGTGCTGAGAAAAGTAGTAAGGCGCCCTGTAAATGGTTGCATCGGTAGGCTTTTCATTGCTGTTCTTTGTCGTAGAGTCGTCAAGAAGTGCGACGAAAGGCTAGCTTGGGTGGTTGAAAGGATGGAATACGAGTAAAACAGCACAGCTTCGAGGGGGGGAAAAAAACTGTCAAAATGTATTTGAATGTGTTCTTTTCTTAACAAGCACCGTTATGAAGAGTCGTGATATTATTTATAAGCGTTGAATTATGACTGATAAATTAGCATATTAGCTAATTTCAATATTTCGATAGCTTGGTGCAGATGTATGATCATAAATAGAATGCATCAATGTTAAGACCGAAATGGCTGTTTCTTTGCGGACGGATATGAAATTTCTTGGGTTTGGTTGTCAAGTTGTCATACTATCTTTAGTTCTTAATACTCTTCCGGTCCTAATTATAAGACCCAATTGACTTATTTGAGGAGATTAAGGAAGTAAGTTAAGTTGGTTATTTATAATAAATAAATGTTGTCATTCCTAAAATATCCTTGCTAATTAAGTATATTGGCTAAAACTATCATTATTAGAAGGATTATCTTGAAAAAAAATGCATAAATATAAGAGACAAAATAGATTGGATCTTATAATTAAGACCAAATAAAAAGTCAAATTGGATCTTATAATAAGGACCGGAGGAGTATAAGAGTTAGACGATTAATTTAAGTAGATTAAAAAAGTTTGTTAAGTTAGTTATTTGTAATAAATAAATAGTCTTTCTTAAAATATTTTTACTAATCAAATAATTTTAATATTCGATAAAATATTTAACATGTGTAACTAGAATTACTTTTAAAAAAATTAATAAATTTAAAAAAATAAAATGAATTGAGATTTTATATTTAAGATTAAATTAAAAATTCAATTGGTTCTTATATCATATGATGGGGGAAGCCAAAGCAGATGTGCACAGATTTTGCCATTTCTCTTCCTCAATTACGCAATGCTCATGTTAATAACGAGTTTGGACCGTTTAGAATATGCATCTATTATTCAAGGCTTGTTTGTCAATAATTATGTTTTATTTGTTAGGAAACTACAACAACAATAATAAACATGATTGTTCTAATGTCTATAAATCAAAATAAAAACTTTAGAGTTGACAATAATATTACTCTCTTGGAAAACATAACAATATCGGAGAATTTGCCCCTAATTCTATAAAGAGTGGAATGACTTGATGAATTATCCAGACTTCATATCCAGTTAGTTTCGTATTGATTATACAAAAGTCGCATCAATTTGATAATTAGCTGGGTTTATTTTTATTATATCATGAAGGTTTGAATGCTTAACTTCTCATTTTGTCTCCTTTTGGTTATCTAAAGCAGCCCTAGTTGGTTTTTTGACAGCGAGCTAGATTAGTTTATGTCATGGAGTCTGCTCTATTTCCTATGCGTATAAACATTGCAGGTATGAATCACACGACTAACTGAAATTTTGAGAAGAACATAGTTATTTCGGCATCATTCCAGAAACGGTAAGTCAGAATTGAAGCACCCCAACGATTGCATAAAATCAATTTAAATGTTCATCGTTAGTCAAGAAGCTGACAGAATGTTTGTGATGTTATTAGAGGATAGTTTACATACTTTTCGAGCAGACAAGAGCGAAAACTAAAAAGCGAGGCATCCTGTAAATTACACCTTAATCATGATATTGGACACCTGATATAATATAATATAAAATGAGGCAAGATCAGGGGGAATGCAAATGAAATACACTATATACACAATTGAGGGTTGATTGATGAAATTAAGGGGAACTAGTAACCTGGTCAGAATTTGTGTGCATGGAGGCCACAGTGGATACCATGGAGTCCACACCACAGATATTACGTCCCCGGCAAATCTTATAGTAACCATTTTCTCCCCAATCCTCTCCCCATGAATTCTTAATGATCCAATATGGTTTCTCTTTCAGCCGACTGCGAGCATAGCCAGCCGAACCAAATCCTACCAGCAACACCCCATGGTCTAGCCGCTTTGAACATATGTATGGGCATGAAACTCCTCCCACATATGTCTGCATATATACTGCATTGATGGCCACTGCATTCATCCGTACAAAGTCATAATTTCGGCCATCATTATCTACCGAAGAAGAGAGAAGAGAGGGAAAAGAAGCTGACTATTAAACATAAAGATCGAACAATAACTTACCGGCAAGAGGACCATTTTTCACAAGATTAGCAGCAATCTGGTCCTCGTCAAGTGAGACAACACTGAAGTTTGCCACTGATGCTGCAATCTTAGTCTCGTCAAATTTGCAGGCCCCACGATCAGTACCAATATAAGGATAGTCATCCTCCCGCATGACCCCACCAGCCTTAAGGATGTATTCAAAAGCGTTGTTCATTAGTCCACCATTGCATCCAGAGTCGCAAGAACCAGGTTCTTCTGGATCGCACTGCATATATAGGCATACGTCCTTGAATTTAGAAATATATGAGGGAAACATCGAGTATTTGATTACTATCTAAGCATCCTAATAGTAGCTTGAAAATTAATCAGTTATATATCCACATTACTTAACAACAATAACTTCGACATAAGTATGGACAATGATTCATGCAATAGACCAGCGGTCAATAGAAACTGCCAGGTTTTGCACGCAATAGCAATGATCATTCAGTCACCAAACTAAAGAGGACAGATATCAGATTAAACCCCTCAAAATATCACATTTTGCGGTTCATCCTAATAAAAAGTGAAAATAACATAGGAATCCATATAATTAACTGTTTGCGAAAAAAATAAAATAAAATTTAGACTGGTAAAAGACAGCCAAACCTCATGATCGCAGTCCACAAGTTGTTGTTCGCTAAGGCTGACAAGTTGTCCCGTCGAGAGGAAGTGAGCACCTTCCAGGGCCCCAGTTGTGCTAAAACTCCAACATGAACCACACGAACCCTGTTTCCCAAACAGAAAATTAGAACGACAAATCAAAAATCAAATTTAACAAAAGAATAACGAAAAGACAAGACTTCAAAAGGCACCTGATTCTTAACGGGGGTAACAGCACCATGATCTCTCCAATCAAAGTCACTGGGGAGATCATCGGTAGGCAATATGGGAGCCTTGTGTGCATCCGCAGGCAACCTGAGACCTCTGAGACCCAAAAATTTCTTCCGAAACTCGGATGGAGTCAAATCCGAGAACTGAGTCACACCATGAACTGCCGACGGGTCCAGCTTCTGGTGCCGTTCAGCTCGGCGCAAGTTAGCCTTAAATACCTTGAACCTATAGTCGTGCTCTTCCTTGGAAGAGTACGACCTCCCGAACCTATCCTTGAAGAGAGAGAAGTGACGCTCTGCGCCCAGTCGAAGGTCGCCACCGTCGACCACCTGCCGGATCAACGGCTCTGCGTCACTCACGGCGGCCAAGTCCTCCGTCTCCGATGAGATCGTGGAGACCAAGAGGAAAGAGAAGACAATGAAGAGCGAAAGATTCCTATCCATATTGGCTTGAACAAGAATCGCTGGAGAGAAGGGTAGCTCTGAACCGAGGGTGCGAGGGTGATTTATGCAATCAGTCAGAGTTACGTATGTGATCTTGCCCACCGAGGTATAATGATCCTTCAAATCTAAACCGTTCGAAAGGTAGAATATTATTCGAGTGGACGGTACGGATTATTTTTTATTTGGTAAGCCGCATCTGATCATACTAACAATCCTGCCTTATCCACTATTTGCGGAATCAGTTTAACCAGATACAAGAGGACGGCTGGCTTACTTGAATAGTTGAATGTCAGAGTTGAATGGTGGTTGGATGTTTTCCTTTCTTGGCCAATATTAGTATATGCGCGCACGCTCGCTGTTATTATTATAAGTTTAAATAACTAATTTATAAATAATAAATAATTAATTAAAATTAGTTAATAAATAATAAATAAATATGTTAGAAATATATTTTTATTTTAAAATATGTTTTTATAATGAATGAGGAAAAAAAATAAAAAAGAATGTGTGAGGAAATGTAATACAAGATAAATAATTAAGGACAATTAAAAAAATGTATTAACTAATACGCACCTGTATACATACATGGTATATTTTTTTGCCTACTATATATGTGTATATAGACACAAGCACACACACACGCATATATATATATATTGTTTTTTGCCGACGTGGTTGTTGTTGGCTGTTTGCTTGTACGTTTTAAGATATTTTAATTTAATTAATTTTTGTTGGCCAAAAAATTTTAATTAATTTTTACTTAATAATTTCGTTTTCATTCATATTCTCTTTCAATATTTATTTTCTAATAACATTTCCAATTATTGACTTTATTCATTTTCACCCCAGAGATAAGGCAGAGGGTTTTAACAATGTCAGTGTTTAAGAAAAATTCTGATAGATGAATTGCTGTTTGTAATGAAAAGTTTATTGTTTAGAATATATTTCTTAGCACGTTTTTTTTAATTAAAAAGGTTAGATATATCTACCTGCACATTGTATGAATGAGTATATAGTAGATGACCTGTCACCTGACTTGGCTTATGACTACAAGTATTGTTTACTATGACCCTATTTTGTTTGGCCAATCATGACCCTCGTATTATATATGATTTGTTATGAAAATAGAATTCAATTTTTGTGTGTTCTAAATAAACTGCGAATGAATTATTTTGTTTATCTTAGATCGAAATCCCAGGTTTATGTGCGTGGAACGCACGTGCCTTTTGAATTCCCACAAAAGACCCCAAAAAATGGCTCTTGAAGAAGTTAAATACTTCTCCGGTCTTTAATATAGGACCCAATTCTTGAGTTGGTTTTGGTCCTAAATATAAGACCCATTTCTCATATTTATCAATTTTCTCTAAATTACCCCTATGGATACTTCATTAACCATGATCAAATAGAAGAAGGAGATGAGGTATTAAGAAAGATGATTATAGTATTTTAGGAAAAATGTGTCATTTTTCTTATAATTAACTAACTTACCTAACTTCCTTAATCTAATCAAATTAATTAAATAGATCTTATATTAAGGATCAGAGAAGTAAATGCTTATATTGTGACATCATTGGCTTAGCATCGAGGGAAAGCAATCGAAGACTTGGTCGTTAAGTTTTTCTTCGATCTACTTTAAGCCGTTTGGAGTGCAGCATATTATCTCGCGGCTTTTAAAAATGCTCTCGGGTTTGTTCTTTTTTTAAAAAAAAAAAACTATCAATTTAAAATTAAGAGTGACAAAGAAATTACCAAATTCAAATTAAATATGATACTATCAATATTTGACCAAAGAAAATGGAGTGCTATGTCCATTAGGAGGCAATTCTCACCATACCATGCGGTTAAAATAATCCAACGCAAACGACAACCCTTAAAGTTCCATAAATTTTTTTGGACCAAAAAAAAAAGTTCCATAAATTTTTAATACAAATAAAAAAGTGGTAGCTAAATTTCATAAAAAAATATTTTACTTTGATAGCTTACGAAAAAACAGAGACACGCTCCATTTATCAATTTCGTGCAAAACAAAATACCCATGATTTGTATAAAATTGGCGTTTTCTTTTTGTGTGCGTGTGTGTATAATTCTTAGGCTAATTGGGTTGGTCCAGTCCACCTCAACCAACCATGTTCGTGGGCTGAAATGATTGGGTCTGAAACATTGGATTCTGATCTAGAAGCATAATCTTTGTGATTTTGAAGCTCGGGTTAAACGCTAAACTGGTCTTGTATGCCTGAAATATCTTGCTAACTGTGATCTTAATTATAAGATCATATTCGTAGATTATAAATAAGGTATTATAATTAGGACTGGAGGTAGTATTATAATTCTATGCTGTGAAATATCTGAAATCTGAGAAATACATTATGCTGCTAACAACTTATAAATATTGTGGAGTTTCAATAATTTATATCCATTGTCGGGCATAGACTCTCATGCATTAGTTAAAATCTCATCCGAGATGTACTATTATTTTATTATTTATGACTGATAAATTGTGCAATTTGTTATAAATTTTATATGATATATTGATGTGAGATTTATTATTGACCAGGCATGATTTTTTTTCAGTAGATTGATTAAATTCATGTTTGGTAAAATTTTAAGAAAAATAAGTCATCTGTAATTTTATCTTATGACAATTATTTATGAATTTTTTCAATAGCAACCAACACTTATTTAAGTGTTCATAATACAGATATTCAACACAATACTGACTTAAATAATTGATGTTAAGTTTTTCTTCTCTTTTTCTTGTTATTCGTTTTTCGTCCTCAATATTAGCATTAGGAAAAATTTTATAAAAAAAATTTGAGATTAGTAAATTCTAAATAGAAAAATTTTACAAAAAATATATTATTATTGACGGATTTAATATTGTCAAAACTTATTAAAATAACGTTATTAAACTTGATGTCAAACTTTGACCCCAAAAAAAAAAACTTGATGTCAAACTTCTTGTTGGAGAGTGGGCGAGAGGGGCACTTCTAATTGGAAGACAATCAAAGGGCCGCGAAGGACCGATGAAAGAGGCAAGTGGGGACATAATTAACAATAGTCAAGCAACGAAATCAAACCAAATCATAATAAAGTCACTTCAGACTAAAACAATGGAATGAAATTATATTTGCTTCATCAATGCGCCTCTGGAAAAGAACACAACTCGCCCCACTCTCCCACCAATGGATGCGAACAAAGCGCGGATAAAGGGCGTACCATCAAAAGTGATGGGCCTCTCAAAAGGGCTTCTGGTCCCAGCAATCTACAGCCATATGCTTTCATCCATCCATTTATTAATTAATAATTAATAACTAATGACAGGGAAAAATATTCTTTTTTTTTTTTAAGCCAGAGATATGGAAAAGGTTGAGATGCATCTAAAAAAATCTTGGGTTATGGCCAGAAAAAGTAAACTCTGGATTATCATTTTAGATTTAGATGGTGTTTTAGATACGCTTTTACCTAAATTAACATAAAACTTTTCTTATATTATATCATAAAATTACGTTTAAAATTGTAATTTAATTTTCATCCAAATACCTCATATTAGTTAAACAGCTAAAAATTTTATATTTTTTTAAATGAATAAATAAATCTACTTAGTTGATATAAACAATTAGACGGAGACAATTGATAATTCGTTAGCAATATATTCTCAGATCTTTAGTATAAGACCTATTTAACTAATTTGATTAGATTAAAGAATTTAGGTAAATTAGTTAATTACAAAAAATATGATATATTTTTTTCTAAAATATCATAATCACCTTTCTTAATATCCCCTTTCCCTCTCTAACTTGATTATGGTTTAGGGAGTATTAATAGGATTAATTTAGAAAAAAAATTGATAAATATAAATTTTTTTAATATTTAAAAACCAAAATTAACCCAATAATAAATTTTATATTAAAGACTATAGAAGTAAATTATTATACATTTTTTTGGAACTAACTCTTTTTTATTTAGTTATAAGTCACATATAATTTTTAATTATTACTATTGTGTAGATTATTATTTTTTAATTTTTTGTTTCGACCGGCAGCCAACAGTCTGTGGATAGATTGAATAAAGACCGTTACCCCGTGAACTTATAGATGGGGAATATGATCCAAGTGCGTGAATCGGTGAATGCGGTGTGAAGAAAAGAAGGCTACGTGCCTCCATGAGAGAGATCAAGAGCACCACGTGGGCCCGGCGTCGTTGTTCGTTTAGGAGGCGAAAACGACGGCGTTCGACTTCGAACGCGTTCAAACTTGCTAGCCATAGCAAAGTCCTCAATTTCTGCCACCAGCTGTAAAAGGCACGCTCCCCTTTCAGAACCCGACGTCCTTCTCTCTCTCTTTCTCTGGGTCTTTTTTCAAATTTGACCAACGACGTCCTTTTCTGTCTTTCTCAGATCAGAAAAGTGACGTCCTCTTTAATTTTTTAGGTTGCTAGAATGCACCTCATTTAATATTCAAGAATTTATTGTCCTCCTCTTTCTAAAATGCCCCTCTCATTTATTGGTCTATTGTTTTCATTCATTTAAATTTTTAAAAAAATAATGCGTTGAATAGAATTTTTTCAAAAATAATTAATGTGATAAACACATGTCGACAACATCTCATATTAAGATACTTACATATTACTCCTAGTACTGTACTATTTATCAGCAAATGCCAACAATGAGTTAAACACATTTTGTGGGATTTGTGTTGCATAAGAAAGTCATTTGGTTGGCCGGATATGATTTCACAGGTTTTATGGGAATTTATCTTAGCCTATACAGACTTAACATATAGGAGTCCGCCTCAGTTAACTTTTAACTGTAAAACCATGTGCCCATTAATAATGGAACACGTGGTTTAATTTTGGGGCCAGGGGAGCGCATCACATGGATTGTTCTTTGTTCCTGAAGACAAGTTTTATTAAATAAAGATTAAAATTTTGGTTCCAGACAATTCGTTATAAATCTTAATTTAATTTAAGACGATTAGATTTAAACTCCGAATTAAAAATGATTTATCTGAGGAACCTTAGAT